GATATGAAACTGTGCAAGGTCAGAAAGGAAGGGGGCTTCGAGCTTATGATCCATGGGAAGGTTATCCCATCTATCGTTTTGCCCTGCACTAGACGCACATATGTGACTATCACGAGGAACTGGACCTACGATTTAGATGCTCCACCAATTACAGGTCCAGTGCCTCCGAATATTCCTGTTAGTGAAGGCGATGATACCGATGACGAGTATGACCGGTGAGAGCAGTCTCCCGATCATCCTATGTCGCCTCACCATGTACCACAGACACACACTGCACCGTCTTCCTCTTACCACTCTGCAGATACCACTCCCGGTTTTTATATATCTGAGCAGATGTGGCGAAACCAATTAGTAAGAGAGGAGAGACGCGATAACTTGATTACCACCATCCAACAACAATTAACTGAAAATATGAGATTCATGCAAGAGTCTCAGCAGCAGATGAGCCAATCCATTCAAAGCATACAACAATCTCAAGCTGCTCTGACCACCAGATTCGACGCGTTCGATGTTCTCAGACCGATCATCGTCGCAGCAGATCTCTCCGCCCTAGGTACTCGCCGCACGCTGGCGACAACACCAGCAACATGCCTTAGGACCTTCAGGTACCTCGTCCCTTTCTTATTTTGAAACATTGGGGACAATGTTCAATTTAAGTGTGGGAGGAGACTTTCATTTATTTTCTCGCTTTTTCTTGCATTTTCATTTCTTTTATCGATTTCTATTTTATTTCCCTCCTTATTTTCTTTTCGTTTTTTAGAACACACATGTGCTTAACGAGTCATTCAGCAGTATACCCTTATTCCCTCATTACTTAGCCCCACCAAAAAAATTTATTGACAAAAGTGCACTATCCTGAAAATTTTCTTAGGCTTTGAGGCAAGTTCGAGTTAGGATGCGGATGATTTGGAAAAATCCTTTTTGAAACATCAGTATCATTACAACACCTTAGGCGTCGCAAAATGCAGAAATCAACCCCGATACCCTTTGTACCTTGGCCTTAATAATAATGTTCATAGTAAGTCCTTAGTAGTTTATCCTAGCAGTCAGCTCCGGCCGAAGCATGATCTAAGTGAAGGACCGATGAATATAAGTGAATGATCTGAATGTTAAAATAAAAATAATTGCAACTCGGGTATAGGTAACCCTCACAAGGTCATTTAACCCAAAAAGTTGTAAAAATTTCAAAAAAGAAAAAAAATGATGATAAAACAAAATAAAAATATCTTCCCATTGTTAGCTGGTTAAGAGGTATCTGGTACTGAACTCGATAGGGCGGATTACGATCCGATCCCCCACAGCTACAATCGGGACAATAAAAGGGGTTACACCAATTTGTGTACCAGAGCCCCATGCTTAAGATCAGAATCACTAACCGGTCACTTCACTATGATTACGTATGGATAACGGGCTTAATGTGATTGCACCATAATGAAAAGGACCTAAAAAGAGATTTAAAAGTAGGCATGGGTACAGTAGGGTGGTATGGATTGGTCTATGTAAGAACGAAGCCTATGTCCGTATTCGCGGAGAAGTGTCATTTCGATACCCATAGTTCACTTAGTTTTCACTTATCGCTTCATCCCAGCTTGAACTCATAAGCCCTTTTCGCCCGGATCATCTATTGATTTCACCCTTTTTTGTCATGATGTTTTGCTTGAGGATAAACAAAGGCTTTAGTGTGGGAGAATTTGATAGACCTAAAATATACTGATTATTTGACTCGATTTGCACGTGTTATTTAGGATTTTATTTCCGTTTTCTTGTATTATGCCTCTGTTTTATTTCTTTTTCAGATTTTTGTATTTTCAAAGCTACTCGAGAAAAAATGAAGAAAAACGAGCTAAAAGACCAACATTATATAGAATTGTACACATGGCTTCCACCATGGCGGGCGCCATAGGGGATGCGACACATTGGATAGAAGACCAACTACTGACAACTGCCACGTCTCCCACTCCTTTCCACCCTAGTTCATGTGGCGGGCGCCACAGGGAGGTGGCGGGCGCCACCTTTGCTTTCTCGTTTCCCTCCCCAAAGGAGTTGGGGGGCATTCATGTCCTTACCTGTACTTTCCTACCACTATAAATAGAGGAGTTCTGTCTCATTTCTAATCATCAAAGCTTAGTTACAGAACTCAACCCATAAATTTCACATATTATAAAGTGATAAACTTCTCACATCGAGGGGTTATCACACTGCCTAATCGAGTCTGTAATCGGGTTTGGAGCACTTGGGTAGAAGTTAATCCTGCCGCCATTTTATTTCTGTCATTTACTTCCAGTTGTACCAAGATTTAAAGCCTCCCGTTTGGAGCAGGTTTCTGTTTATTTATCGCCCTTTTTATTTATCCGCTTTTATTTCTCGCACTGTTTATTTATCGCACCCTTTACCGCACTTTATCTATTTTACCTGCACTTTATTTACTTGCATTTATTTACCATGTCTATTTACCTTACCATGTCCGGATAAATCTTAAAGGCTAGGATGCAAGGATTATAGTTATAATAGTACTCCATACGGCTGTCGATAGAATTACTTAGGGGTTATTTTGACTTTTAACACTTATTTTCTGCACTTAAAATCTGTTAGGTAAGATCGAAAGCCGTCCAACCTTTAGATAAATTAGGTTAGTTTTAACTGTTCAAAGGAAGCGAAAGCGCTTGGTTCAGTTAATTAGGAATTTTTAATGTTTAAGAAAACCGATTTTAGACCTACTTTCGGACGCGTTTATGAATTTAAAGTCCGGTTCACAAGAACCTATTTTTGTTAGAAATTCCAGGTTAAAATGCTTTTCGACTAAGTTAAGAAACTATATTTCTTAAAAATATATTTAATCAACTCTAACGCAATGCGCGCCTTTTTATAAGTGACAATAAGAGGGATCGACTAGGGGATAAACTCGGTTTTGAGTACGCGAAAGTGACAGTTCCTGTTAAATTAGTTCTTTTCATGAGTAGAAAACATTACCCTATAAGGCATTCTATTTATACACATTTGGAATACTACGTAGCTATGTGAATTGCATCTGAGCCTGTTGTTTTATTATTGAATTTATTTCCGCACTTTACTTTTATTTCGCACAACAAACCCCTTTATTGACTTGCCTTAGATAAACACCGTAACACTAGCGAACGATAGATTGACGTTTGGTCTCTGCGGGATCGATAATCTTTTATATTACTCTGACGCTATTCGTGCACTTGCGAAACAAGCATCAAAAATCAAACTAACAGGACCATTTGAAGATGCACATCCGGAACACACCTAACTTCGTTCGAAGATGCATATTCGGATTCAACGTTCCTTTTCTGCTAAAAAACAATATTAATGCAAGGATTGCAGGATGAAATGAATGAAATTTACCTGCAATTCCAACTTGTTTTGCTTCATTTGATGTGATGAAATACAAAAATGATGTTTTGGTGTTGAAAAGATGATTGAGAATGAAAGAAACTTTTTTAAGGATTTTAAAAATAGAGTGTTGTTTGAATATGGAGAAGAAGATCATGCAAGGTGGTGTTTTATCCAATTTTCTGATGGTTATTTATGGATATGCATATTTGGAAATATCACAGAGTTGTTCATTTAACTACCTCAGTAAATTAAAACACAATAATTGAGTGCAGGGGTTATTTCAGATATTCATCTTCAGATACACCCAAATATGATACAGAGATGCATCTCCGAACCTTTTTTTTCTTCAAAATGGGGAGAATCTCATAAAGTCGAATATTAGTGTGATTTTGGGTGCATATGGAGATACCTCTCCAGAAGCATGAAGAGAATTTTTGGATTTTCAAGGGTGTGAAAGACACCACCAAGGATAGAAAGAGCATTTCCCTTCATTATGATCGTTAACAGTTTGGTTCGGTTTTCTAAAGTGTTAATTTAGTTCAAATCTCTTCAAAATTTTCAATGGACTTGCTAGATTTATACTGCAACTCTAATTTTTTCAAAGAGGTAGCTTATCTAACCCAGAAGGATCGGAAGGGTTAAGATTTAAATTTCGGTGGTTCACTTTTTATTTATATGGACGTAGCATGTTGACATGACCATCATAGGTCTTGGTAAGCTTGTTATGGAGTTGGACTCCAGTGAAAATCCCATGGATTATGTCATACCCTCATTTTCACCCTGACATGCATGATGTCGTTGACATATCACTTAACCTTTGATTCACTGGCGTAGTTATTCATCCAAAAAAAATACTTAAAGGATTTACATTAAAAGTATGGCCATCTTGGTCCATAATGTATGCCATATCACTTAACCTTTGATTCACTGGCGTAGTTATTCATCCAAAAAAAAAAAACTTAAAGGATTTACATTAAAAGTATGGCCATCTTGATTCACTGGCGTAGTTATTCATCCAAAAAAAAAAAAACTTAAAGGATTTACATTAAAAGTATGGCCATCTTGGTCCATAATGTATGCCAGAGAAGATTCAAAGGTCTACATTTTTGGCTCATCAGGGTGTAAGTGACAAGCAAAACGTTCATTATTTTTTCAATTGCTCTTAAGTATGTTTAACATGGAATCAAGTTATTTCATTCTCTTAAGGTTGGTTTTAGTGAAGATTTTCTAATGTGATGTTAGGGGATTTTGAGTGTGTTCATCTTGGTTAAGCGTTGCACTATTCTGGATTAAGCAATGCTAGTTAGTCCAAAAGCACACCACCGGTAAAGTTTCAGAGGGGTTTTACCAAGATAATCATGTCTACAAGATCACCAAGCTGGTCTTGCATAAATCAAGATGAATCATGTAAGCTAATTATGTGAACACTTGGATTTATCTTGGCTAAACACGCCATTAAGACATCTTGAAGTGATTTAGTCCATTAAGCATGTGAAAAGAGACAAGTACAAGTCTAATTGTATTACAAAACACATCAATGGTAGCACAATACACTCATACAAATTACATTCCAAATAAACAAGGTCTTAGGGTCCAATGGACAAGCTCTTGCGAATACAGAAGGTAGCACCATGGCTGAAGCCTCATGTTAGATTCCCTTTCATTAAGTCATTCATGCAGAATTTTCTACCTGGTATTGAATTGAAGGCTTTTCTTATCTTCTTGCCGTCAATATTGATGATCATGTCAAAATTCGAAAATTTTGAATCTATACCTTTTGTGAGAGAAGGTCGGCTTTTAGATACCACTTGGGAACATACTTTCCAAGACCTGCAGAATACCATAACCAAATCAGTAAACAACAAACATCTAAGTAGTTCATTACTAACTTAGTTGACTAACATCTAAGTAACTAATGAAACCTCAGCTTAACCTTACAAACTCATGGCAGGTTTGGAACGATTAAATAGCAGGTTACCACATTGAATTTGTTGGCAGAACATACAATATGGATTCTCTTACTTGCATGGCTGCAATCCCTTGATGAGCAAAAATCCCCAAAAGTTAGGACAACTGTAACCAATTTTGCAACTGATTCCTTTAAACAGGTCACTGCAACAAAAGAAAAAATATTTTCAAGGTCATTACACTTGAGCAAGAAGTTACATAACAAATTGTAGCAGCTAGTAATATTTACTATTCACCTCATGACCAGCTTTTTCCAAGCCATGCTAACTCTCATCATCCTACCACTACCAAGCTAACAAACATGTGTTGCAACAAAGATTTCAAACATGGTAGCTTCTTTTCATGACCAATTCCAACCCTTGTTTTCAAAATAGTTCCAAAGCAAATTACAAGACCCGTCCATAATTCATCATGTTAAACTCAAAGTTCATCACATCCGTGTTCTTCATCCTAATCAAGCCATGCCACAACAACACTCCAAGTTCAATTTATGTCATATACAATACAAATAATTCTAAAATCATGTCAACAACTAAGTCTCAAGTCATGCCACAATTCAAATAACTCATCAATTCCAAGTTCAAATCATCAAGATACCATTTCAATCAAGTTCATACAAATTCAAGTCATAACAAAATTGTACCAAATCATGAGAACAAATTCAATTCAATCTACCATGATGCATATCACATTCACATTTCATCCTCATTCATAATGCATACATGACATATTCATTTTGACATCATCAAATACATTCATCTAAATTTGGTTCAAAACCAACCAATTCATTTCCAAACTCCAAACCATAATCATCATTAAAGTTCATCACAAACCATAAGACCAATTCAGAAATTTCCATTACATATGTAAAAACCATGAACATACACACAACATGTTATCCAAGTTTTTTGAACAATAACAACAAGACAAATTCAGTGGAGACCATATGAGGGAAAAATTCAGAATTGGCAGAATTGCCAAGACAAAAAATGCAGCAGTTTCACACTGTACAACCATCCTAACACAAGTGGAAATAAGACAAAAACTATAGCAGGGGCAGCACAATCACAACAGAGCTGAACATCCACATTTCAAATTTCTTCACAAATTTATGTTCCGAAACCCTAATCAAACCAATATAAAAAGGAGTTATTCATTCAAGGGGACACAGGAGAGAAAACCCTAAAAAAGTTACATACAAACCATAACGGCCATTGCAAGAAGAGGAGTAACAAGGGGAGTGAGGAACTAGCATTGCCTGAGCTCGTGGTCTTCAAGGGTGAGTACTCTTCCACGCTTTGACTCTTATGTCATTCTTGCTCTTGTTGTCTCATCGTTGTTGCTTTCTGCTTTGAAAATCTCTGTTTTATTCTTACATGGTCTTCTATATGCTTATTCCATTCGTTTTAGCAAGTTTTTGAGTTAGGTTTTTTTGAAAAGGAAGGCTTCGATCTAGCTTTTTCAAGAGGTTTTGGTTAAAATTAATGTTAGATTTGGGTTCATGATAGAATTTGAGTGGGGTTTAGTGTTGGGTTTGAGTGGAGAGGAGTGTTCCTCGCCGGAGAAGACGGCGGTTACAGTCGTGCTTCGTCTTTTCTGACGGCTTTTTTTTTGGATTTTTTGGCAATATTTTGGTGCAGAGAGGAGAAGGAAAGGATAGGAGAGAGAGAGAGAGAGAGAGAGAGAGAGAGAGAGAGAGAGGATTTACATTCTGAATGTTGTGTTTTTTAAAACTTGTTTCTTCCCTAGCCTGCATGTCTTACTATAGGGTGGGTGTCGGTTCAAGACAGTGGCATGTGTCACTGTCATATGTTGAATCATCAAAGCCCTATCATGTGTTTTCCAGCATAGAAGCCTTATCTTGCGTCCTCGGATGTCAACCCTTGGATAGAGTCAATTTTTTGACTCAGTATAGATCCAATGAGCCTTATTTGTCCCTGAAAGTCAACGCGTGTTGCTAGCCCCTACATGATCATTAGCTCGCATGGGCTTTGTGAGTTTTAGGCTTAGTTTTTTATATTATTCACAATGTTTACTTCCTTATTACAAGCCCATTAGGTCTTTCTTTCTTTTTTTTTTTTTTTTTTATTTCTTGTTCTATTTTAGGTTATTCTTTCTTTTATTTCTTTTGGTCCTTATTTTTATTTATTCATAAAATCATTTTGATTATTATTATTTTTAATAAATATATTATTAATTAATTGAAGTCTGGATTAATTTTACTAAGTATTCGTATTTAATTTTATTAATAAAATTTTTTTGGTATATAATTTTTGTGTGTGATCTCTAGCCATTTACCTTGATTACGCCCTTCCTTATTCATATCTTGTGCTCATGTGGTGATAATTCTATATTGACTTTTGTTTATCCAAAATCATTTTCAAAAATAAATTTTTGATTCAACGTCGAGCCATCTTTGATACCATGTAAGTCGATTTCTTTTTAAGCATCGTCATCAACCTTTAGATCACCATACACAACATTCATGGCTTACTCATTGGCTTTTTTACAATGAGACATATTCGATCAATTATCTCTAGTTGGTCGTTTAAAAGACTAGTCCACTTTGCTAGTACACATGATTAAAATTCAATTCGGCTGCTTTCCTTTACTCGTTTATTTATATTTTTCCTTTGCATGATGATTGAATTCCAAAACCCTTAAGCATACTTGATCCATATATCAAGCCCTACCTACCCCAACTCTTGTAAGACGATTGCCTTGTGCGTCGCCATCGGCCTTACTTTACGCAATTAGGACCTCCCTTCCATTCATTTTAAACCTTTCACCGTTTCGAACGTAAATTCAAACCTCGATGCATATCGAGTATTTTCTTCAAATCAAACTAAAACGCTTAATAACCATGAAACACCTTATTTCAATAAATGATGAAAAAAGTTAATTGGTATCTTCGAGTTCTTTCTTCGATTGTTTAAGTGTGAGGTGTCTTCTTCACACCCAAATAACCGTCATCTCTAAAAGATTTATAATCCGCTTCACATCAAAAAATTTATAATAAACTAAATCAAATCTATTTTCTCAATCACTTAGATGAAAAAGAGAGAGAGAGAGAGAGAGAGAGAGAGAGAGAGAGAGAGAGAGAGAGAGTTGAGTCTTCGATTCACCCTCCTGATTACTTGTGCCCGATGAACCTTTCTTAAGCATTCGAGTAATCGTCATCTGCTTAAAATACTTAAACTATATCAAAATCCTTTCACAACTAAGGTTGAAAAAGAGAAAGAGTCGAGTTTTCGATTCTCTCTCCCGATTACTTGTGCCCGATGAGTCTTTCTTAAGCATTCAAATAGTTGTCATCCAAGTAAACAATCAATACATTAAATCAAATTCTCGCCTCTGTACGATCAAAATTCTTTCTTAAAAGGACATGTTATTTCCGTTCTATCGCAATACAGGTAACGCATAAGACTGCACAAGCGAGCTGCAATACACATAACTGCAAGAACACGAACATTAGCATCGTCTATAAAAATTACCAACAAACCATAGTCTGAATTACAGACGCTCTGATTCTTCACTTGTTCAAGTGAAGACACGTAGACACAAGGGCCTCAATCCTTGGCGAGCACCCTAAAAAAAACCACATATTTCTCTTTAACGAAACCTTTTACCTTACCCTTTCACATTATTCCCTTATAAGAAAACAAAAAACTTGGCTAACATTCCTCACGAATCGAATTAAAAGGTTTCTGTTGAGTACAATAGACGTGGGAGGGTGCTAATACCTTCCTCTCACGTAATTGACTCCTGAATCCAAAATGTGGTTACGATGACCATGTTCTTTCCCTAAAGATTTTATCGATATTTTCCTTTCCCTCTTTGGAATAAATAAAATTTGGTGGCGACTCTGTTTTTTCTGTGTCCATCGCGAAGGTCGTTACCATTTTTCGAGGTGCGACAGATTAGAAAGAGCCTAAGGGAAACATCGATCAACTTAATAAAGTTATCGTTGATTGTGACCTCTCTATTCAAGGGATCGGTTGCAAGGTGAAATTGGTGGTTGAATATGCATGTGTGTGTGCGTGTTGAGGTGTGTGCGCATGCGTGTGTGTGTGTGTCGAGGCGTGCGCACGCGCGTGTGTGTCTAATTTGAAAATTTATTTAGTGTGCAATGTCATATACTGATAATTATGTTTGTGTTGAAGTAATTCAAAATTTTTTTGTAAGATAATTTCAATCTAAACAATTGCAATTGGTTTTCATATCATCAACACAAAGGAAAATCAACTTGGTATTTATTGCACACCAAATGTTTGATAAATTGCCTTTGTCAATTGTTGTTTCCTATTTCATTGGAAATTGATTATCATAATGTGACATGGTTCAGACGTTATTTTGAAAATCATATTGATTTGTTTTCTCATCATTGTAATATGTTTTTTTTTATGGTTTAATATGCATATCCAATTCTTCTGATAACGGTTTGGAATAGACAAGTGTCGATTCAGAATTGCTTTCGCTTGGCATAGTAAATAATTTTTGAAACAAATTTTTAATCAAAGAAAATTGTATTTGCAATCTATTCACCCCCTAGACGTTGCCCTCGTCTAACAAGTGGTATCACGAATACCGATTTATCTTGTGCTTCAAAATCCCTTATTAGATAATGGCTTCCGAACCTAAAGGGGCGTATATTAGAGCGTCTGTTTTCAATGGAGAAAACTATGGTTATTGGAAGGATTGTATGCGTGTCTATATCAATTCTATTTATAGAAATGTATGGAAGACCATCCAAAATGGTCCACTTAAAATTACATGACCAGTGGGATGGTGTTGAAGTACCTAAACCGAAAGCACAATAGAACACAGATAATGAGAAAAATTGGTCATGTGATTGGAAAGTAAGGAATATTTTAATATCTGCTTTAGGGGTTGATGAATATTACCGTGTTTCTCATTCTACTACCGTTAAAACTATGTGAGACTCATTGCAAGTTGCCCATGATGGCACAAATGAATTTAAACAAGCTAGAACCAATACTTTGAACCAAGAGTTTTTGAACTCTTTCATATGAAGCATGGTGAAACCATTGTCGATATGCAAAAAAGGTTCACTCATCTTGTAAAACATTTGAATGCACTTGGTAAACTCGTTTCTAATGAAATTGCTACTAAAATTTTTTATGATGTTTTAAAAGGGAATGGCAACCTAAGGTCACCACAGTCAAGAAAACTAACAATATTTTGACATTAGACACTATTACTTTGTTTGGTAAACTTGAAGAATATGATCAAGAGCTCATGTGCTTGGAGAAACAT